AAAATTTTCTTCACACGGGGACATCTGGTCGCCATTATGTCTGGAAGGGCGGGTAAGTCATTAGAGGTAGAATCTGACATAGGATTTCTGCATACTCGTTTGCCTCTTCGATTCAGACGTGGTAAGAAGAAAATTTTGCCTGATGACAGAAAAGACGTTAGTCTAATGATTAATAGTATACGCCGCTCATCGATCGTGTTGCGGAACGCACTCGTCTCGTTGTGCCCAACCAGCAACCGCACAGCGCCGCTAATAAAGGCAGAATAACATTCTCGACAAAGTCAATGGAAACTGAAATGGCCATTTCAGGCTTATAAGCCACCGTCAGCCAGTCATACCCAGCCTGGAGCTTGATCCCGCGACCTGTTGGTCAGAAGTCCAACGCTTCTATATTGCGCGCCGCTGTGGTAGTTATTTCTACCGCGTCCCAGTCAGTGGTGCAGTAGAACTTCCGGGTTTCCCCATCCAGCTCATCATCCAGACACTTGAATGGCAATTCATCAGGAGTGGATGACCTTACGGCGCGTTGGATCACCCTCCAACTTTGGCCGACTTACGGAGATCCATACAGGCAGATGGACAGCGTGAAACGACAACTACGCGTAGTGCGTCCTTAGACAATATATCAATGACACCTTCAGCGACACACCCGCCTAGCATTTGTTTGTTAAGAGGTCATGCGAATTCGTCAGTGAATTCTCTTAGCTGTTACTAATCGGCGCCATGATATGAGTCGAATGCGAAGCAGTCAGATATTACCGTGTCCACAACAGGTCTTGAATACATAGGATTAAAAATAATCTGAATCTCAGCTCTTGTCCGCCTTCTATGATTGTCACTCTATCGGCCCCGAAGGCCTGGAAGGAACAGTGCAGTATAAAAAGGGGCAGTTTAACTGCCTACCCTAGCACCGACTTACGTGCAGTGTCATGCAAACGTGGTTAAGAACAGGTAAGAATGGCGAACATATCAGAAATTACGGCCATCGAGCTTCCTTACGCCCAGGATATTTACAGACGCATCATTTTACTTTGCACGGTCGTACTCATGCCTTATTCGACCCGCCTGATTATTTCGCCGACTGTACCTTTGCCTGCTTGACGATTTGTAGGGGCGGACCTAGAGAGCTCAATCCATTCTATTCCTCATCAACGAATATTGATGGTTCAGGAACCACCTGCAGATCTTGCTGTACTGTCAAATAAGGCTTCGATCTGACCTCATCGCTTATAGTTATACAGCAACGCCGAACTCATGGGCGTAGAGGACAATGTACCTTCTTCGGGTCAGACCAGAGACGCTTTCATCTTCATTTGTGTTGACGAATAAGACGAATAAGTAAGCAACCTCGTAAACCCGAGACTGCGTGGCTTGACGATAGCAGTGCGATCTAAGTTGGTCAGGCGGCATTTTAGAGATGAATCCACAATGTCAAAACTACGTAAGGTTTGTGCGAGAATTCAGGAAATGGCGTTGTTCAACAAAATGGGCGACAGAATGCAACCTTGTCGAAGGCCAGACAAAATATAGAACAGCTGGGGGGAGATCGCAACGGGAAAGAGTTCGCTCAGGGTAGGGTGACGGCGGGTCCTAATCATGGGATGATTTTTACTGACACAGCATATGGCTCCGTCACTAGCCACAGACAGCGTAAATATTCAAATGGCAGAATCCAGATTCGTTACGCAGCGTTCTCGGGTACGCATACTCTGAAATCTGACAATGACAACGTAAAACCTTTGAGGGACTGTTGACAGGACTGTGCCGCGGCACTTCTCGCGATGTCTTACCCCCCCCCCCGATGGCAGGTCTAGGAGTGGCCGAGTCTCAGTCACTAGAAAGAAGCCCATATTTTGATGCACGCTCAATCAGTTGACGGAGTCGTGACTCCATAGTGTCGACACAAGGCTTGTGCACTTCAGCGGGAACACTGTCCTTTTTGAGCGCTCAGTTGTTGCGCAACATCACTATTTAATTGGTGATTTCTACCTGAGAAGGATGGGCATCCGACATTGCATGGGCCGGAAGAACAAAACCACGCCACAAAGCAGATAAAGGGATGACGGATTTGTCATCGAAATCGAGAAGGTGCTCAAAGTATTCATGTCAAAGTCCGACTTCGGCCAAGTCGTCGGCAATCAGGCCGCCACACATATCGCGATCAGAGGACCTGACACTAACCCGACGGATAATTTGGCAATTGCCGAGTTTTACGGATGTTTGGGACCTGCCCCCGGGGGGTTGTCATTTTGGCCTAAAAGTTTCTGTGGTGATCTTCAGCTAATTTCTTCGTCGTTTTCTGAGGCTTGCTAAAAGTACCACCGTTGCAGAAGCCAGCTCGAGCTGTCATTTGAGCTGATTCACTTCGTACAGCGATGTCGGGTAAATCCTGGAATTTTATTAGCAGCCTAGAGGGGTAAGGACTTCAGTAATGACCATTTTCTATTGCCCTCTTCTTCTTTGATTCGGGTTACAAGGAGTGGCCAAGTTTTCGTGAATGTAGACAAATTTAAATATTCAATGTTATGCGACAACAAAGTGTGCTGCACGTGACATATACACCGCACGTGAGGAGAGAACAGTCACGTGTGCGCGGACGAGAACATGGTCTGCATTACCAGTTTCGGTACCACGCAACGCCCTGCCTGTACGAGGGAGCGTTTTGCTTTCAAAATTTAAAATAATTTTCAAGTGTCCCTACCGACAACTTTTGCCACAGAATACGACAGATAGAAAAAAACGCAATCTTACCCAGAAGGCTCTTCTTAAGAGTCAGACGTAAACAAGCCCCATTCGTGATCATCTTTACGGGCGTTATGTTTGCATACTCTGTCAGACCGTTGGCTTCGATTCGTGTACTTTCCCAGCACACTTCCTTGAAAAGTAGGATTGCATTTTGACCAGGACAGCCAATGAAAGACAAATTTAATGGGCCCGGCTGCCAATTTGGTTTTTTGTTTGTCATCACAATGTTCGACAGCTAAAAAGACAGAGAAAGACCAGTGAGGAACGCAATCAGCATTTCCCTTTGTTTTATTACTGAGACCTAATTTTCATCTATGGTATAAACGAGGAGATCTCGTTTGCGTCGAACAGGCCGGAAAGGAAGATTGGCACATTTTGGCATGTTATATATCTGGAAAGAAAACCCCGCTGCTGTCTTCCTACTTATGTGAGTCTACACATGCGGACCTGTAACACGTAAAAACGTAAGACTCCTTCTAAGACGCCCAACAACGGCGTTTTCGGTTGCTTTTCACTTTTCAGAACGCTTCCTCAAAGTCACTGGCCGACTTCTATGCCTCTTTGACCACTTTCCGTCCCTGTCCTTTCCTGTTCAACACAGGAGCCTCTTCCGAATATCTGAATATTGGGATTTGTCTACATTCATAGTTGGTGGAAATCATTCTTACGAAAATGCAGAAGGCTAGCTCGAATTCAAATGCCCTACAGCCGCCTATGTCCACCGGTTTTTTAGTAATCCGGCACCATAGTGATACATATTTACTTCGTATTTACTTGCACATTTATTTCCAATGGATAAAAGGTCGTGGAAACAGTACCGTGCAGGATTCAAGGACGAAAAAACGACCAAACTAGACAACATTTTGTGTTCCGATAAATGATGTTTGCCTGGGCAATGACTAACCTCCTCACCCCCGAGCGTGCGTGCCAGCTTCGAAAACCCCCATGGAGCTTCCAAAATAGTTATTTATTTTCTGTCCTGCAGGAATCAACAATAATTATTCGTTTCATTTAATTCTTTACTGGGGGCGACCTACGTAATTAAACCTAAGACAAAAAACCGTAAATGAAGCCCTTGGCTGACCAGTTACAGTACTGTATAAGTAACGCGGCACAACACGTGGTATGTTGTTTGAGATATCCATACAACATGTGAGTAAATTCTTGCGCAAGATTTAAAACTTCTAAGAAGAGGTGTTTGACAAGACTATCCATGCATGACGGCACCATGCACCAGGTATGAAAATTATATAAGAATATCTTAACTCAAACATTTTTTGATCTGCACCAAAGAAGCACTGACGCAACTTGATTAAGTGTTGCTTGTAATTCTATCCCAAAGAGTTACGAATGATAGGAAGTATACGATCAGATATTCAAACAAACGTAAAAATACCGCTTTTAAGGAAGTTTCCCTAAGCATAAGAACGGACAAAAGTTCTTCTACGCGCAAATCTCGGGATGGTAAAAGGCAAAGTATAACGTACTTGAATTGATGAAACAAAGGTTTTTGCAAGAACATCTATCTTTAGTTCGTGAATTCTCAATGAAACGCCATCGATAACCTTGTCAACAAATCCGTATCGTCCGCCCGCAGTGCTGGAAAAGCATGATTAAAAAATAACTACAAACCGGTAGCTTGGTGCCGATTGTTGAGGGATAGTGCGCGGCGTTGTGAGCACCTCAACCTGCGCAGTCACGAACTCCAGAGTCTACCTAAATAAGCAATATTTAAAGTGCATTACCGCATTGATGGGCTGAGACTTCAGGTGAGTCCAGGGGATCTGAAAAAATTAAAGCAGCAAACTCGCGTTACTTTTATGGACAGGCGCGTACAAGTTGCACTGCGAATCTGTAGCCAGGCCGGGAGTTCAAGCAATTCCATGAAAGCGTCTTCATCAAGCTCAATGTTCTCCATATCGACTTCTCCCTTAAGCGCACTGAGCTTTATCTGGTTTGGGTTTAAATTTTTAGCAAATCTAACGGGAGTTAGGCATAGCGTTCCACATACTTCGAAAGTGGTTTTAAAATTTGTTGTTTGATTATAGACATGATGAGGCGACTTTTCCTCTAAGGCAAGTTGAAATTTTGTGCGCGAGTCTGTAGGAATTACTCGTTCATTGTGGAGTGATGGGCTTTCATCGTAAGAGCGAACTGCTCGATTTGTGGAAACTGGAGGGGATTCAGTAAAACACGACCGTCGCAGTTAGTCAATTATGTGTAGGTAAAGTCCCGGAATTCTCCCTCAAACAAATATTGTTGAATATACCCTTGTGTTTCTTTTATAGTCTGCAGGCGTTTGCAACGCAGACTAGGCAGTGGGGCTCCCAGCAGATAGGTAAGACACAACAGCTAAAGACTGTCCAACCGGAGTTTCAACGCTAACTTTGCAGGTGACATGTAAAAAGTCCAATTCGAAAATTAGAAGGAGTACTTAAGCAAGTTGTTAATGCCCTATTTAGGTGACAAGTGCTTTTGTATATTTTGTTGCTTTTACAGCAACAGATTCTCCCTCCATATATGACCACTCTTCTCATGTCCATGGATGACTTGGCATTATCCTTAAGGGTGGGCTCATTAGTAGATGAAATTTAAAATCAGGCCAGAAGGAAATTGGACATTCTTCCTTATGAATGAGTGATACTCAAACTTCGTCTTACATGTGACTTTTAAACTGCTCAAATACATGTCTGACTCTCTTGCAGGATACTCTGGGCTGCTTGAAATAGCGTTGAGAGTAAGATTTAAGCACCCGTTTGCGTATGGGGACTGCGCACCGTGTCTTGGCTTATCATTTTTTAAATAGGTGAGTGTCCGTTTGTCTTCTGACGATCTGAAGTTGTGGAAAAAAGAACGGACTGAACAATGCACCTCATTTATATAATAATAATGATCAGTTGCGACAACAGTATGATGCGCGGTTCTTTAGTTCTAATTTCAACAGATGCTCGGTCATTGGACTCCGATCTAATAACGGGAGGGCAGTGATCTCCGATCATTGTTTTTTGACTTCTTTATCGGCCGATCGCCGTCTATGTGCACTGGCAGCTCAAAACTAATGTCAGTGCCAGTTGTGAATGCAGCAACTCAGGGTTCTGTGGTTGGGCCAACACCGTTTTTGATTTGTATAAATGACTACGTAAATGGATGGGAGTACAAAAGAATGATATTTGAAGATGAAATAAAAACTGATGAGCAGGTGCATATAGAAGGACTTAACCATCTATGTGCATGGTCAGATAAATGTTGAAGTTTGACTCTTAGTAGTGTGTCGCGCAACGGCTTAAAACGAGGCATTATAGGGGAAATGAAGATTTTCATTTGGCGAAAAGGTGTCTATCAAATGCAACTAAACAAAATGGCCTCGAAATTACTGTTTTCTCACCCATAAAACGCTCCTCTTGGCGAGACAAGGCGACCGAACGGGCGATCGGTGTTCTCTTCGTTATTAAGATAACTTTTATAGATACTGCAAAGGAGGTATTAAGAAAAGCATATGGAGCCTTTACAGATTATTATTTCGTATTAGGCATTATCCTCCATAAATGCGGATTTCGGTCACATACTTTCATAATATAATCCTTTAAAGAATTATATTTTACTGACAACATCAAATATGATGTTTGTTTGGACCTGAATATTGTATGTAATGCTTTCGACTGGATATTCGAAGGCATTGGTTATTACCCTTAACTATATTGAAATATGCTAAGCTAACCATGTCGAAATCATATTCATGGTCTCAAATTTGAAGATAAGTGGAAGATATTATTTCTAGATGTTTTTTAAATTGACACAAATTACTTAAGCTTTAGTTTTCTGATTAAATTTCTCTAAATACAGGCGTATTCTTTTAAAACTATCGGCTGCCATCTCCTTCTTGAGACTTGCTAGTTAGTGTCTGTTGACTAGAATTCGCATTCTGCAATTCGCATTTTGTGCATTAGATTTCTCTCTAACTGTGTAAATTTTTTTACACCGCTAACCACTCGCTGAAATTCGACCACCTGATCTGTCAGAGGTTTACCTAATTGCAACTGGCCTCGAGACAAGATAAGAGTAAAAGTCACAGGTCGGCGAAAGCTTTCGACCTCTGTAACTGAGCATGGTTTAACTGATTGAGAGGCAGCTTAATCTGCCTGCACTCAACAGCTGAAACAATTTTAGGCTGGGATACAATGCCGCAACACTGAGGGAGCCTTCCTCCCCCGTCTATGTGTCTTACGGGAATGGTGGTAGAGGGATTGTACGGGTGGGGCATCTAAATCGTGCGAAACAGCTAGAAAAGTAGTACACGATAATTAAAAATTGCATTTACGCCAAAAACTGTTTTAACGCATCACAGGAGCCTAGTAAATGACCTCTAGACTCAGAAGGCAACTAACAGGAAGACCCGAAGTGACCTAGCTTGTCATGCATTCACGTTATTGGCCGGGTTGAAACGTAAAACTTACTGGTCTGCGGGCTGGCCAATCGGCAGGTGTGAGAGAGTTTGTTGTTAGGGCTGTGCAGGGGGAAATACAGTACTGAGGTTTTGCCGTTTTCTCAAAGGAGGACAACAGCAGGGAGGCATCGGATGAACGGTAGTGTTTATGGTCAAAGGACGCCATTGTGCCGTCCACTATAAGGCTACGACATCCATTGCAGAAGGCCGAGCAAGCGAAGGAAACAGTGGGCTTGGTAAGGCAAGTTTTCTGACCAGGATGCGCCCCCTGCCAGCACATGGCCCCTTCATAGGCGGGGCTGGAAGGGGCTGGGTGGGGCCAGAGCCCCCTCTGCATTGAAGCATTTTTAAGCGTATTTGCATCGAAAGATATGTTTCAAAAGCACCACTTAATGTACCTTCTTTGGAATTAAAAGGAGCTAATTTATCAAAATTGGCTTATAAATCATGGAGAAAGCATCCGTTTACGCCCACTGAATGAATATATTGAGGTTTTGTTTAAGTCCCTCATTGCGTAAACTCTTATTTGTCCACCGGTTTACAATCTGTGTGTGTTATTAATTCGTATATTTAACAATCGGGACGATATTTTAAAGTGGTGCCAAAAGTGGGCGGGGATGTAGCCTCCCCTGCGCATTTTTTTTCGCTGGCGGGGCCAGGCGGGGCTATCGCGTTGCATGCCCCGCCACAGCCCCGCCTAGCCCCCTCATGGCCTCCTCTAGCCCCGCCATTATTGAGGGGGGCAGGCGGGGCTGGTGCTGGCAGGGCCGATTAACAGGGCGGACGGGAGTGTAATACCTAGTATGCTGTATTGGGAAGCATATCCAACCCAAAGGAAGGGTTAGCGGAGACCGCACACATACAGAAGTTGGGCTAACTCATGAAATGTCAACCGAAATTCTGAAATGCACTTTCGTTACGAAAAGATTGCTTAAGTAGCGTTGTCAAATTAGTCATTTTGCAGCATAATTGTGTAATAATTCAGTTGCCTCGGGATGCCTGCATTTGAACGAACTTCTTTTGGGCCCGCATATAAAAACCACACTCTATAAAAAAATAATTACCTAAATAGCATGAATTTTTCTCACTGATTTCCGATGCCCTCAAATATTCAATTATATTTCATGGAAAACATGTATAAAAATATCTACTCTTTTACTCACTTGGTACAAAAATTTCGTCTTCACCCAATTTTATACCCGAAGAAAGGATGTATTTCGGTTTTAAAAACTTCCTATTCCCGATTAATTTTGGTCCCGAGTTGCTGGTACACGTGCCCGCAGGCTTCCCAAGCCACACGACGTACATCTTCCGTGTGCGGCATAACTTATATATTCTGCAAGTTATTAAGGGGATACCAATGGTGGTCAATAAAATTTAGCAGTGGATATGAGCTATATCACAGGCTTTACAAGCCATATTAGTTAACGCAGAGATGGGATATTTTGTGGACGGGCTTATCATGGCTTATCACATGTGTAAACGTCTTAAAAGCCTAATTAAACCCCTTTTTGGAGTACAAATTTGGGGAAGAAGGAGGCGTTATTTCCTTCTAAATGTTTAAAATAATGAGTTGGTTTATGAATGTCATCTGTGAAATATATTTGCATTTACAAGGACAACGAAAGTCAATGATAAAAATTCGTGCTACTGAAGTAGTATTTTCACAGCGTGGGTTTAGTAGGCAGTCGAAAAGATTTTCACAGGCATCCTGAAGTAAATGAATTATTGTGGGATTATGCTGCCCGATAATGAATACTACAAATCGACTGACGTAATCTTTTTTGATTAGAAAACGGATTTCGCAATTGCGGCTGACACTCCATGACTTTGCACGTCTACAGTACCTCACGCGGAGAAATCCAGGAATATGAATGGACTATGGAACAAATAACCTCTTAATTATAATTCCGTGACAGATTTCGCACACAAAGTGACTAGCAAAGCCGCCATAGTAAACCGTGTCATTGGTAGTAAAAAAGTTAAAGACATCACGCCATCTTAGATCAGTAGTCGTTCATTTTTAATGCCGCCACACTCCAATTCGCGGCGAATCGGAGTGTTGCGCCACTGGTATCATATCAATCAGTCTTCCTGTGAAACCAGGGCCAGACTGTAGAATCGGTGTTTCCCTCTTGATGTGCTCTATATGACACCCTCGCCCCACGTCCTCCCATTAAACCGAAGTAGTGTAGAGTCAGGTTCCGGATCAGATGTAGTACGCGTAGACGAGTTTTTTCGCCGTGTTAGCCACTGCGCCCCCGCTCAGCTCCGTTCTTCTGGTTCTAGTTGTATCACTGAAACACGCGGAAGGCCGTAAGATCGAATTGGGATGTATGCAGGATCGCTGCACTTCATTAAACGCAAGTTGGCGCGCAGGGCATCACTGCACTTCCACTCACGACGTTGGAGGTTCTCACCGCCTGCAACTGGCCGACTAGCATATCATGCCTACCTGATATTTTCAACAAATA